CGCAGGTTCAGTATCACAAGATATGTACTTATTCAATGACGATTTTCAGTGGGGCGGAGTATCTTGGACGGGTTAATAAAGGAAATATAAATAGAAAATTAGTGATTATTTGTAGCTGAATTATTCTGTGGCATGTCCATTGTTAATAGACAAAAATTGCATGGAATATGGATGGTTCAGTTACCTTGTAAAGAAAGGAATTGGGAACGTCCCCATAGCAACCTAGGCAAAGACCAACGACCATATCCTTGACGAGGCGAGGCGATGCGTGAGGGCGGCACGGCAAAGCATAGGCGATTTCAGGTGTGATCTACTCCCTCTGTCCCATAATGTAAGACGTTTTTTGACACTACACTAGTGTCAAAAAACGTCTTACATTATGGGACGGAGGGAGTAGTTATTAACAGACAATGTAGCAAAATTGTTCGATTTGATGCACATTGTTATGCACAAAAATGTTTTGCACGCAATGGATCGAGATTGAATGGTTAAATCAATCAAGTTTACCGAGCCATAGATAAATGGTGTTATTAAGAAGTTTATGAAATTCACACGTGAACACAACAACAAAAGTGATTCAATCTTATGCCCATGCATCCAGTGCCAGAATTTGGTGCGGCATAATTCAAAGGTAGTTGAGACTCGCCTAAACAATGGTTGTCCCGTACCTATACAAGGTAGTTCTATCATGGTGAATCAGTTACTGATAGTGAAAGTAAAACAAGAATAACAATAAGGGCCTGTTTGGAAAACGGTAATATCAAAACTTTACCAAGAAATACTGATACCATTCTTTCCCAATCGGTTACATGCTTAGTTTCTCATTTCGGGCAAACAAAGGACCAAATATAGTAAGAGAAGGCAAACACTCGTTGTTATATTTGCCATATAAATTATATAGACAAATCGTTATTTGGCTTTCGTCTCAATCTTGTGTAAAGAGATACGCATCTCTGATCCCATGCAGCTTGGCAGCCACTTCCTGCATGCTGATGCGCTCACTTGGGGACGACCTGGTGCAACACAACCCAATACTAATCACAGAAAGGAGACTTTGCGCTCCATTTTTCTCGACAGCATCCATCTGAGTTTCCCGGCAGAGATTCGGCTCCTGCAACAGTTCTGGGTCAAGAATCTGCATTACTTTATGGGGGAAGTTGATCTCTGCAAACTTTGCAATGCTCAATCCGTCCTTGAACATGGCATCCGTTGGCCTCCTTCGAATGAATACTTCAAGGAGGACGACTCCAAAGCTGTAAACATCTGCAGCAGTTGAAACCTGACCGCCCCCTGCACATTCTGTAAATCCAGCAAGAGTTTACTTTCGATTCATTCACATGGGCGAACTGTCAAGTTTAATATGAAGAAAGAAAAACCAATGCGAGGATGGACGGTACCTGGAGCAACATATCCTACGGTTCCCTTTATTGCAACGGAAGACGTCGAAGTTGATTCAGAAGACGATGTTGTGGTATGAATCGGCAACCTTGCCAGCCCGAAGTCCCCAACATGAGCTACCATATCATCGTCTAAGAGAATGTTGCTAGGTTTCAGATCACAATGAACAATACCCTCTTGGTGAAGGTACGCCACTGCATCTGATACATCTGCCACGATGCTCAACCTTTGAGCCAGTGAAATGCAGTTCGAATCTGAAGAGCTTTCGTCACCCCGAGCCGAGTGTAGAAATTTATTCAAGTCTCCTCGTGGCATGAACTCATAGACTAGTGCTTTGAAGTCGATTCCTCTAGAATCAATGCTAGAGCATGCAGTAAGGATATGGACTAGATTGCGGTGCCGCATGTTCCTCAAAGCTTTGCATTCTGTGATGAAACTCTTTTATGCTCCCCTTGTCCCGAGAGCAAAGACTTTCACAGCAGCCACATTTCCATCTCGAAACAGTTTGGCTTTATATACCGAACTGTACCTTCCACTGCTGATTACGTTGGACAAGGAGAACCCTTCAGTTGCTTTGGCGATATCATCATAAGAAACTTTGGGAAAATTTCTACCAAAAGAAGGTAGAGACATCGATTCTCTCCTTTGCTTTTTCCTCCAGAAAAGTAGCATGGACACGAAACCGGCAAGTAGCACCATGCTAGCTAGTGGAATCATCACTTTGAAACATAGTGGCCAAGTGTGCTTGGACGGGCTTGAAATTGTAACAAGGCATGCAGGTAGCTGCAGCTCTAGGACTCCACTGCAGAGCCGATGATTTCCGCCGATGCGTATGGCAGTTGTGTTCTTGAAGACACCTTCTGGAACTTCACCATCAAGACGGTTGAATGACATATCTAGTTGTTGAAGGTATTTCAGAGCACTAATGGACTTTGGTATGGATCGGATCCAGATAAGTGGTTGTGAGACACAGTAAGCACTTCCAAGTTGCTTATGTTTCCTAATGAAGTTGGAATTCTTCCACTAAGAGAATTCTGATCTAACTCAATGACTTCCAAACTTTCACAGCCATCGAGTGTCTCAGGGATGACACCGGACAGGTTATTTGATGAAATTAGCAGATACAACAGTTGCTTGGCATGTCCTATTTCTATAGGAAATGGCCCATCTAGTTTATTGGAAGATAATCCAATTCGAGTTATTGTAGGAATGCTGAAGATCTCTTTTGGTATGCTGCCACGAAGATTGTTATTGGAAATGCTCAATTTTTCAAGGACCTTAAGGTTTCCCAAACTTGGGGGTATATTTCCATATAACTGGTTAGATTATAGAAGGAGTTCTGTCAGCTGAGATAAGTTTGTGAGGGATGATGGAATAACCCCTGTAAAGGAGTTGTTAGCTAGCTCTATTCCTTGTAAATTGTGTAGAGTTCCAAGCCATTCTGGAAAAACACCTGTAAACTGGTTTTCTTCTAACCCTAAACTGAATAGGCCTCGAAGATTTTCTATGCCAGAAGGAAAACCTCCTGATAATTTATTTGTTCCCAAAAAGAGATGCTGAAGCTGATCAGAAAGGTTTCCCAATGAACTTGGTATATTTCCTTGTAGGCGATTCCCTTTCATTGAGAAAATCTGTAACTCGGTGCAATTCGCTAAGCTGCTCATAAACTCCCATTCTTGTTTGTTACGAGCATGGAATTGATTGAATTCAAGATTCAAGTAAGACAGTTTGGTGAGTTTGCCGATAGCACTATGTACTACACCAGTAAAATTATTACTTGATATATCTATTTCGTATGGCTTGGAAGCATTTATCAATGAATAGGGGATATGGCCATGAAAGAAGTTGATAGCCAATTGAAGAAGTTGGAGGTCAGGAAGATGGTTACCAAGGTCGGATGGTACCTCCCCACCTAGACCATTGAGAGCAGACATATTTAAGATGGCATGTGGGAACGCACCTGTCAACTTGTTAGCAGCCCCGTAGAGGAACTGCAGCTTGTGCAGCTTTGCCAAGTCATTTGGGAGATTGCCCTCAATGTTATTAAACGCGAAAATGAGCATTCTCAGTGTTGTGATATTGGCAAGAGAGGAAGGAATGGTTCCAATGAGATCATTGTGGGAGAGGTGCAGCTCTTGCAGATGACTAGGTAAACTAGGAAATTGACCGGCTAGATTATTCTTACCCAGCCGAAGCACCATTAGGGTGGTACAGTTGGCAAGATTAGGTATCTTTCCTTGCAATCTGTTACTGGTCAAGTTGATGGTTTTGGAGGTTATGCATATGACCAAGGGATGGAGGGATCTCTCCGTAGAATGAATTATTTGGTAGGAATAGAGACTGTAGGAATGTAAGGTTTCCAAGAGAAGGAGATATTTGCCCTGCTAGACTAATTGCAATTACAAACACCTACTGCCGATGGAGAATATAGGCTGCCATCATTCCATCAGCTAGCTTTTGACATTTGGGCAACAGCTATAGGCAGGGACTCTAAAATTAGACAGTGTGAGCATGTCATCCTATTTGCACAGCAAACAATACATTTCTCTTCCCCTTTACGAAAATGCTTCAGCAAATAAATGGTACAGTACCTGAGTATGCAAACTCGCAGTGCCGGTGTACCTCTTGTATGAGGAAGAACGTCGTGCGCTTTGGTTGGAGAAGGGCGGCAGCTTATACACTTTGGTCTCCAAAGCATGAGCCTTATATAGGCATTTCGTCTGCCGACCTAAAAACACTAGTTAATTCAGTCAACTTTAATTTACCGTTGAAAATGAAAGGGCCAGATAACCTCCAAATCCAAAAAAAAACAAAAAAAACAGTATTGTTGCTATTATTGGAAATGGAAAGCGCCACGCGCCGGTAAAATTGACTAACTTCGATTTCGAGGATGACATGACAATGACATGGGACTTTGTGGATCGCCGACAATAGTTGAATTATACAATGTGTGCTTCACCCACTGTCCATGATGTGGCGCTGTAGTCGTAGTTGACAAAGATAAGATACTACCTATCATAGCCCACTGAAGGAGAAAAATTAACTGTAAATAGGTCTTCCATGTACTGCACAATTTCGCATTGAGAAGATACTGGTTGGTTTATGAAGGTGGTTCCTATTGCTCAGTTTTGCCACAGGAATCAGTGCGCCCATATAGTTGAAGCTTACACGCCTTGGGGAAATGCCCTTTGGTTCCGGGGAGGGGCGACGGCGACTGACACTACACGCCGTCGCCCGCCCGCAAGCCTGCTCTTCATTCTTGGCTGCAAAACACTCCGACGAGTCAAATTCCCCGGCTGGGCAGGGACAACGGCGGCGACTGACGCTACAGGTCGTCGCCCGCCCGCTGGAGCTGGAGACTGGCTAGTTTCACCAAAGCAGGACCATGCTCTGCTCTTCATTCTTGGCTGGAACCTCGCGCCAGCCCATACAGCCCAACTATACGGCCCATGATTCCTTGAAATAAAACTAGAGGGCCGACAAGCACCGATAATACCCACCAACCTACAGATTATCCTCGTGAAAATCTCAGAGAAAAAAAGAACCAGGAGCCAGTGACAGGCAAAGCAGACAGCATGAAGTCCAAGCAGAACCAGCATAGATAACAAGAGGTCTTATCAGCAGGTAAAGACAGCATCTCCAAGCTCCAGTTCCATGACATCCCTGATACATCGATCCGGTACAAAACTACAGCAAACTTTTCGTTGATTCACTCAAGCCAAACAAAAAGAAGAAGAAGAAACAGCTTGTAAATCTTGGTTTCGACAAGCTCCAAGAACTCTAGGACAGTTTCTGCTACCAGCTACAAAGGGGCTGCGGATGGATAGGTCACCACAACACTACTCTTCCTTGATGGCGCCCTTGTCGCTGACGTAGATGCCGTCCAGGAACTTCCTGATGTCCTTGTTCTTCACGTGGCATTTCTGGTTCAAGGAAAACGAAACAAGGGTTGGTCAGGATGGGGATGATCGGCGCTCATATATAGAGAACCACATGCTGCCAGTGCAACGCCGGTAAATGTTATGCATTTGTTGTGTTCCAACGATACATGGACATTCTGCACTGTTATAGCTGGTTTTCCAGGTTAGGTTAGGCTATGCACTCGTTGCATCTAATCTAAACTAGTAGAATAGATGCATCAACAATCAGTGCAGTAAGAGTGGAATATACGATCATTGCAAGGCATGCTACAATGCCTAGATGACTACAGCCATAGGTTCATCCGTAGTAGAGAAAAGTTCTGCCATTGTGAAGCATACAACCTCATTCAGAGATAGGCATCACAGGTAAAATGAAGGCAACTTATTATGCTAGTTTTCAGTATGAGAAGCACGTAGGCCAGGACTCTGACCTGGTTGATCAGGGCAGCAGAGCGAGAGACTAGCTCGATGTCGTTGCCATCCAGGACAATCTCATCCTTAACTTTCTCGGACCGCAGGATCGTCACACCGTCAAGCATGTCTACTTTCCTTACCTGCTCAAGGAAAGGAAAAACATCAGTACACTTCATACATGACTTGGAAGTTGGAACAATAGACATAGTGGGGGCACAACAGATAAAAGTCAAACCGGACATCACAAACGTTCAATGTCATAAGTGGCATAGCACACTCAAGTTTGTTTTAGGCAGCACTATGGGTCAATCACCCTACAAACACTAGAGTAAACAATGCTACTGACTCCTGTTCTGAGAACATTGGCATTGAGGGATCAAACATCTCAAATAAGCTTGACAGAATTGATGCATTATTGGCATCAATGATCCCCCAACCCAAGGTGAACAAATTGCATTCATTCATATACCTATACATGGTTCCAATTACACACAGAGGTGGATTGATGGGCACATCACATATACAGAATGGTTCATGAACAGAGATTTGACTGCCTATAAACTAGTGCACTCAATAATGTTTCTGCTGCAGCTAAGTCAGAAGAACACATTTTCTATGCACAGGACCAGCTAAATCGAGCTCGCCGATCTGACTGTTTGGTCAAGGAAAAAGAAAAGAAATTTACCTTCTTCTCGCCGAGGAAGTTCCTGATCTCGATGCCCTTGTTGGCGGCGGTGATGGAGGCGTTGATGGGGAAGTGGGCGTAGACGAAGCGCATCTTGTAGCGGAAGCCCTTGGTGACCCCGGTGATGAGGTTCTGGACGTGGGAGATGGCGGTGCGGATGGCGGCCATGGTCTTGCGGGTGCCGAACCAGGCGTCCACCTTGAGCTTCCGCCCGCCTTCCTGCAGCTGGAAGTCGAGGTTGAGGTGCTTGAAGTTGCGGGTCAGCGTCCCCCGGGGACCCGTCACCGAGATCATCTTCGCCGACACCTTCACCGTCACCTCCTCCGGGATCTCCATCGTCTCCGACGCCAGGATCGTCTTCATCTTCGCACGCCGGGTTTGCTCTG